TGGATCTTCATTTGTAAATGATTCTCTTGACTATTCTGGCAAGGACATATGTGTGGGTGAACTAAGTGTATTTTTCATGTCACTGGTGATGGAAACTAGAATATAAACTTTGTGGTACAAGGGATGCCAGGAACTTGTGAGGAAGGGAAAAATAAAAATCAGAGTAGAAATATTTCCTAAAGTAAAAGGTGGCAAATACTTACAGTTGTTCTATGGCTTTTTGATAAGTTTACCAGTGATAGAATTTTTGTATTTTGAGGGGTTTCATGTGTGTATGTGTTGGTTTTTTTGTTCTTTATTTAATTTTGTATCAATCTGCTACTAATAGCTGTGTTACTAATTTCCTGTTATCCTAGCTAGCAAACCCATTTGGATATATTATTTGAATAATGGGATACTCAGCGTGCCATCTTTGGAGTAATGCCTGAGATCACAAGTGATAATTGGCTTCTGTATGAGCTGTAGTCGTTGCATTAGTTAGGTTTTGAAGCCCAGTTCCCAGAGCATGATTCATATTGACTGTCCTCCTTTCTCCATGGGAAGTGAGAGTGGTGAATTTCCTGGGTCAGGGCAATACTGGGGATGGGAGTCAGGATAGCTAAATTGCTTCCTGCCCTCAACACCTGCAGGAAATACAAGAAGTTGAAGAACAAGCAGTTGTATGAATTAAATATATTCATGTGTCTGTTTGAGACCTCTTCAGAAGAAATAAGAATAAATACCATCTTACATTATCGTAACACATACCTTTCAATGTTGAGTGCTTATCAGCAAGATCCAAGTATTCTGAATGTTTTTGATTTCCCTGTTGCATTTGGGATCAAATAAAGATAATTAGATACCACTTTCAGCATTAAAGTGTACTTAACTCAGTGTGGCTCAATAGAGGAAAGAGTTTTATTTGTAAATACTGTGTTCATTAATGATATTGCATTTATACTTAATTTTTATATGTTGGACACACAAAAAGGTTGTTGGAAGGTTATGTTGTTGTAGTGTACCTAAATATTTTTGATAATTCACTATTTAAGTATAAAAAATAGTATAAAAATAATAGTATATAAAAAAGTAACTATTCTAAAGGATTTTTTTCAGTTAAAATGAGGAGATATTTTTTCTTTTTAGATTGAATATTGAAAGAATCAAGATGTAATAGAAATTTCAGCAGAAAACTTCTAGCACTGAATCATTTATCTCTCCTCATTAATTAAAGTACACTCTTATTAAATAGCCACAGTAGCAGTCATGCAATAGTAGCATAGGAGGGATCTGTCCATAATCCAGGAGTGCAGCCCAGGCTGGCATCTACCCACATGGGCAGCAGCTCCATGGAAAGGGACATGGGTGTTCTGGTGGAGAGCGAGTTCCATGTAAGAGAGCAGTGTGCTGCTGTGGCAGGGAAAGGCAGCGGGATGCTGGGCTGCATCAACGCGGGAATCCCCCACAGAGATGAGTTAAAAGTCCTTGTCCCACTCTACTCCGTGCTTGCCGGGCCACACCGGCACTGCTGTGCTCACTTTTGGTCCCTGCTGTGCAGAAATGTGTGGATAGCCTGGAGAGGGTCCAGGGAAGAGCCACAAAGATGATCGAAGGACTGGGAACCTGCCATGTGAGGAAAGGCTGAGAGAATGGAGTTTGTCCCCTCTTGTGCAAAGAAGGCTTAGTGGCTACAAAGACAGTGGAGACTCCCTTTTTACAAGGAGTCCTATGGAAAAGGTGAAGGGTAATGGTTAAAAGTTGCTCTTGTTGGGATGCTGACTGAACACAAAAGGAAAAATTTTCACAATGGAAACAATTGTGAAATTGTTGTTGCTGTTGGAATAATACCCCCAGGGAAGCTGTGGATTCCTCAGCATTGGACACTCCTGATTTTCCTGGACAGGGTGCTGGGCCTCCTTACCTAGCCTGTGCTTTTGCCATGGAAAGTTGGATCAGGTGATTCAAGAGGTCACTTCCAACCTGGTATTCTATGATTTTATAGAATCAACTTAAATTCAGCCTAAGCACTCTTAACCCACCCAATCATCAAAGGCAGGGAAGTTTGAAACAGAATAGGAAGATGTCTTTGGTTAGCTCTTACTTTCTGGCAAAAGTAGATGAAGGTATGCCACAAGGTATGCTATAATCTACTTTCTTTTGTAGAATAAAGGTAAGAACACTTATCCCTGGTAAATAGTGCTAAGAAAACCCTGTTTTTAATTAAAAACCCTTTTTCCCTCCCCCACTGCACTTAATATATTTGACTGAATGAAGGGCTGTTTTATCTTTGGAAAAAATGATTTTAGAAAGTGTAAGTAACTTGCTGTTTAACTGAGATGTAGATCAAGTTTAGGTTGAGACTTAGACTCTGAGTGACTTCATTTTGCTTGATTGTAGAAGGATTTTGTTTTTAAATTTAAAAGAGTGGATGGTGTTAATATAACAGCAAGACAGAAGTAGCAACAGTCCACAAAGCCTTCACACAGCTGCCTTGACATCTAAATATATAGATGTCTGTAGTGAGGTATTTAAATGCCTAAAATTCTATTTCTGCACTGCTGGTTTGGCTTTTCTTCTGCCCCAGTTCTTCTGGGATCCTGAAATTATGTGTCCCTGCTCATTAGCCCTTGTACAGATCTCTTTAACACCCATCATTAGATGTGAGTTCTGCACAAAGCGTAGCAGCCATGGCTGTGGCATGCTAATCACAAAGATTGCGTAGGAACCAGGAAAACACATGCAGTTAGTTGTTGAGATGAAATTTGGAACCTGCGAGGGCAAGAGGGAACCACGGGAAATGAGTGGGGGAGTAAAGAAATAGGAAAAACAGTGGAAGGTGCAAAGCGATATGGAAAAACTAACAGATCTGTGAAGGGTGCAGAAAGCTGAGAGATGAAACGGAATGCTGCTAGTATGGGAGAGCTGGAGGCCGATGGGACTCTGGTTGTGGGGTGGCAGCAGTCATGCAATACTGTGTAATGAAGTTGTTGAGAATGAAGTGGTCACTGAAAAGGGGCAGGGATGCAGTCCAGGGATCCCAAATAGGAAACTGAGCCTAAAGACAAGAGTGGATGGGGACAGTAGCATGCATCCCCAGGTAATAATAAGGCTTGGATGAGAAGTGCTGCAGTTTTGAGGGAGACCGAGTATCTGTATTGAGCAAGGTGGACCTTCCCCTTTTCAATGGCTACTGTTTCAAAAAAACCAAGCTCAGAAAGCTGCCTTGAATAAAGAGCTACAAAGAGAAAGTCCTGCAAAGCTGGGAAGGTGCAGTTGTATGGTCTTTCCAGGTGGAACAGATGTGTATGAAGACTACAGCAAAGAGGGATAGGCCTCTGGAAATGAGCTTTTATTTGTTGTAGAAACCCTAAGACAGATAGTGAATGGGGCAGCTCACAAGTGAGGGGAGGCGTGTGTCTAGGAAACTAGGTGGGTACAGCTTCTCCAAGAAATAAGTTATTACAGAATGATAAATACTCTGAAAAATGAGGAACTTGGTTGAACACTAAAGTTTGTAATGCTCCTGATTCTGAAGTTTTCTTGTCTCTGGGATGATACGATGCCCCTGGCAGGGGTCTGTTGTGACCTGACAGCGCCAAACAGGAGCTCTGTCCAAGAATGGGCGTTTCTGTCCTCAGAGTGCTGTGACCAAATGGAATGCAGCCACTGGGTAGAGTTTCACTACTCTCTTCTAGCTACTGTATTCACTGAGGGAGGTTGGGGTCCTGTGGAAAGAAAAAAGTGCATTATCACCTAATACAAAGTCAGTCAAACTAGATTTCAACAAGGGTGCTGCCCAATTAACTGCAAATCCTTGGGGGAAAAACAAAAAGGAAAAAAAAAAACAACTTCTGAAGAATTTAGTTTCCATGTCATTGGATACCTATCTTATATTAGGATTTTTTTAGGATGTTGATGTTTGTATATAGCTTGCTGACATCTGTTTCTTTAAATGGCATGCTTGCCGTACATTTAGTCTGGGAAAATGCATGTTAAAAAACTAGTTAAATCTAGGAAGTATGGTTACAGTCAGTTTTTTAATTTCTGTTGACTTCTGGTAAAATCTTCTTCGAAAAATTGTACCTTGCTTAATTTCCCAATTATATATTTACTTGCGTGATGGGGAAGACGAAAAATTATTTTCTTTTGATCTGATGTAATAGGAGCTGGGTTTTAGGGGAACAAATTCAATCTTATCTGATTATATCCTGACCACGGTCAAAAGTAAGGCTGTAATTGCTGTTTAAGGAGAGTTGTTACAGAGGTTGTGTCATATCAAATACATTGCTTTTCTACTCTGTTACTGTTAAATGGATTGCTCTAAATTAGATGGTCTAATTCTGGAAAATTTGAATACGTGCAGGTGGACTTTTGTGTCAGCAAAGCCACACTTATTTAATTGGAGCTCCATATGTCTGCAAAAATTGCTTCCATATGGTTGAATGGCACATTTTGAAAATGTTTCTTTAATTCATACTAGTGCCAGGAGAAAGAACAACTCTATTTTTTATGCTCCTTAACTAAGTGACAGTGCACCTGTACATGAACCTTCTTTCAATTTTTAAAGCAGTAATTGAATATGTAGGATTTGCTTGTCACATGTTAACAGCTTTAAGGTAGCTTAAATATGTAGCTAACAAAGGCTTAACTGTGTGCTCTCTGTTTGTACTCCTTAAAACAAATGATGAAAGATACCTAAATCATGCAGTCCCACCATGTATTAGGTTGAATTTACATGAGTTTTCTTACAGAAAACTCTTTCACTTAGGGTCATGGTAAATCTAAACATATATATATATATATATACTGGTCAAATAAAACCCAGGTTTTTTACAAGGGGAAAACAGCTTTGAGTTTGCTTCTGGTTAACTGTATTGATGGGAAATAATCCTGTGAGAAAAGCTGGAGAGATTAATTTTTTCAATTGGGGCCATAGAAGTTGATAAAATTATTAAGAGATGAATTTATAAGGAGTAATGTAAATTTATTTATTTATTTATTTTATTTTTTATTCTGCTCAGGTACCTAAGGATAAAACTGGCCTGAAGGGAAAATCTGTGGGAAACTGGGGACCTTGACTGATCTTGCACCTGAGTAAGTAAATACTTAGTGAAAATCAGCTTTACAAAATGTTAAAACTGTGAAATATTTTTCAGCATCTCCATGCCTAATTGAAGTTGTAACTTCAGACAGTACCTTGGCTTTTGGATTGACAGAGACCAGAAGTAGTAGGCCTACCTGCAAGGGAGGGAATGTGGTGTAGAGCCTTCAGTGCCTTGCAGTACATTTCTTTTTATTGCTACCCTTGAAGTCTCCATGGAATGAAACATAGCTTATAGGCAGGATTTCTTGGTATTTTGATATATTGCCTTTTCAGTTATTTATCTTCAGACTAATGTCTGAGTTTCTTAAAGCTTAACTTGATCTTTCTGGTTTGTAATCACAGTAAGGCGCTGAGACTCAGCAGAACTGTAGGTCAGGCCAGGTTAAATATGAGGTTATCAGAGGGTGAAGGCTGAGAAGATGACCTCGTGGAAAGTTGTATGGGAAAGGATGAATGCTCATTTCATGAGGAGGTTTTTGGGGTTTTTTTTAAGACAAAAACTATTGTCTTGGTTGGGGTTTGCTTTCACTAAAACAGGACAGGGACAACATTTCTTCACCAGCTTGGATGGGGCATTCTTTGTCATCTGGAGGCCCCCAGTCCCAAACCCAGGTACACAGTTTTCTGAAAGGCAGGAAGAGTATTTTCCATTTATGCACATAGCTTTCTTCCCTGGCAACCAAAGCATTATTCTGGTTTCAAAAAATTATTTTACATATTGAAAAATCATGTTGATGCATAACTTATTATTTTATGCATTTATTTAGTCACACATATTAATATATGAAATGTCTGTAATATTAATGAGCAGATAAATTTTTTATAGCATGAAACTTCTTTCTACTGGTAAGATATTTTTAAAAGTGGGAAAGTTAATTGAGTTTTCTGAAACAATTGCTAGAGTTGGAGCCTTTCTTCCTGCTGGCATTTCTCATGCTCAGAGATTTATCTTTGGTTTTAGAAAGCTTCACTGAGCTGAATATCCTTACTGGTATCTACATTAAAGTTTGAAAACAAGACTTACCAGCTGAAAGTCTCTGAATTTAATCTGATCTAAACTTGTTCATTCCAAAATTCATAAACGAGTGCTGTTCATTCCAAATCTGTACTGTGGTTTATTCATATTCTTGTACTTAACACATGAACTTATAAATTGATATCAATCACATCACTGCATAAAAAAGTGTATTTCATTTTGCTAGAGTATTTACTGTGTTTATCCCTGCAGTAGAGTAGTAGACAAAAATATCTCTCATTGCTTTCAATATTAAAGAGAATTAAACATGTAACCTAAAAATCTGCCAGGCTTTGTGAGCTATACACAAGTAAGACTTTCAGTTCATTAAGAAATGAACTTAGCATTTAGCATTATCATTCTTTGCTTTGTGAGTTAGGTACTGAATTACAAATAATGCCTCAGACTGTATTATAAGGAACTGGTTGCTTTCCTGTGCATTGCTGGTTCTTACTGAAGTTCTGGTTCCTTGTCTTGCACTTGATGTGTATGGTTTTAGAAATGAGGTCTCTGTACTAGCAAACAGGTATAAGGTTTGTTAAAGAAGAGAAGTTTCAGTGTTCTCTAAATGATAGTGGCATGTTTTGAAATCACAGTTGGCTCAACAGCTCTGTTTTAAATCCAGCAGAGACCTTTGAGAGAGGTTTTTGCCTTGTTTCTTTTAACTCCTATACTAACATGAAGCAAATGTTTTCATTTATTTCCTATGTTATCAGTCCTACTCTGTGTATTTTAGTCTATTGCTTTTGACAGTGATGAAAGGCAGCTATTTCCCAACCTTTTGTGTTTTGGGTGCTACATAAGCTCAGCTGTTTGTTTTGAGAATATTTTCTTCTCCTGATTTGTTCCTGTTTTCTCATTTGAAAGGCAGCACTAGGAATTCCAGATACAATTGTAGTCTTCTTGGAATTGTAATTTAGATTTTGTGCCTGTGTACATGAGACAGGAGCTTGCCTGTACAAAAGAAAGGCAATCATTCTGCTGGACTGGAGAACCTGTAGGTACAGTGACAAAGATACCGTGTCAGTGTTATGTTACTTTGTATTTGAAAATTGTCCTTAATTGTTATCTAATAAGGTAGAATTCAAGTGAACTAAGAAATGGGTATAATCCAATTGAATTGTGTAGTGTGTTCCTTCATGAATATAGGATTGATCTCTAGGTGTTTTACCCAGTTTATTTGCCAGTTACTGTAGTTACCACATCACCTACGGATTTTCTCATTCAGACTTGAAATTGAGTGCCTTGGGGCAACATTTTCTCTGTTAAGCATGAAGATGAACTGGCCTTGGTTTTGAGAGGATCCTGTGTGTAGCAGTTTTTGTGCCTGCTGTTATGGAAAGATCAGCGGGTTTTGTGCAAATCTACATCTGGGTGTGAAGCGAGATAAATCTGTGATGTAACCCTCGTTGTGCTGCGTTTTGTTCTTTCCCAGGGATTGGTAGGTATTAGTCCGTGCTGTATTTAGAGGCTGAAGTGAAGCCAGCTGGTACTGTTGCTGTAGCCTGTTGATACTGTAGGATGAAGCTTTTCAACTTCTTTTAGCAGTTGATTCTGCAGAGATTGCTATTATTTTTGTAAATCACAGTGTATGGTTTCTGTCAGCTTTTAAAGATGTCATATGCTCTAATGTTTATAGTGTAGAAGTCTCTGGGGATTTAAAACTCTTTCTCTACAGTATCTCTTTCACAGAGATCAATTAAGTTTCTAATTAAAGTTTTATCAACCTAGCATCTGTTGAAATCCTAAAAATGTTGATATTTGTTGAGACAAATATAGGAGGTTTTCTAATCTCCTGAGAAAATTTTTTTGAGGATTGTTGGGGTTTCTTTATATTTTTGAGAGTGTTTCTTTGTTGTTCACAAAGTGGTGTTTGAATAATGGAAAGCTTCAGAAGCTGAGAATTTTAATGAAAAAGAGCCAAACAAATTTATTTAAACAATTTTATTTATTAAAATAGCTTGTTCTCAACTCACAAAACTGTAGTTGTAATCCTTCCCCATTCTTTTTGTCTTTGAAAGACCACTTACTTTGATCAGACCTAAAATGTTGATGACAATTACATCTCTTTGTTTCACCTGAAGCCTTTCTTGGTGTTTGGAAAGTTGTATATCACATATATTACATTTGAAAGGTACCAAAGTCCTGTGGTTGGCCTCAGCATTAAAATATATAGACACTTTTGCTTTATGAGGCTGTAAACCGGATAATTCATCACTACTGATGACCTGGAAGTAGATGTGGGCTTTTAAAGTACAATATATTATATTACAAATTCCTTGGGAGGGGGAGTGTTTGTTTTTAGGAATTCCTGGAGAGTGGAAGCCTGTTAGGATGGTATTGAACGTGTAATAAATCATGTACTTGGCCTAGGTTGAGGGTTTTTTTCCTTTTTCTTTTATGGTCTAAGACCATTTAAACATTCTGTCATAATCATAATAATAAGTAGTATCCTCTCTGCAAACACAGAAGAGAGGGGGAAGCTTTTTTTTTTATTTTTGCAGTGTAATATTCTCAGTATCTATATAAATAAATGATAGTGTGTGGCACGATTTCCATGAATAGCAGTGCAGCTGTATTGCTGCTGTCTGCCCAAATAACAAGAAATGAGAGGGAAGAGGAGGTGACGGGGGGATATGGTTCGGAGAGGAGCATTGTGGTATGAATAAATTGACACTGTGGTTTTACTGGGGGGGGGACACTCGTTACAGGAGGCTTCATCTGTTTGCTGCTTTCCCATATTTAGAAGGCATCTTAAGTGATCCTTTTTGCAAACAGCTCATGCAGTAACTGGCAAAACAGAAGCAATTAGTGGTGTAATCTCAAAGGGAATCTCAAGCTTCACTTTAAGTGCAATGATTAAATCCACTAGAATGATAACCATTGCTGCCAAGAGCTCCTGTAATTGGTCACTAATGTATTTTGTTGTAGCAGTCGATATCTACTGCATTTCATGCACATAATTAGTAATGCATACACGTTTGGTCAGTAAAATTGAAAATCCTGATAACTGAGGGTAGAGGGGGTGGAAGGAGCACAGAGCTGGAGAACTGAAATACTGCTCTGTTGATAGTACCTAACTAGAGCTGTGTGCTTCAACAAAACAAGTGTCCTACTGTGCTGGAATACAAATGGGCTGTCTGTGGCAGGATACAGCAAAGACATTTGGCAGAGAGGGATTTGAAAGCTTCTGGCATAATGTAATTGAATTGGCCATTTCTTTAAAGATACAGCAAATTGTTTGCTGCAGCATTCATCATTGTAAGGAAGGTCAGACAGCTTGCCAAACATATGATATTCATAATAAAAAGTAAAATGGTGACACTTATATTTAAACACAAGTCTTGTTATCATGTTTGTAAAAGCTGGAGAAATGAATGGGAATATTTTTGGTGGTGCTGAGCATTAGTAATCTAAGTAAGACTGTAATTCAAGAGGGGTACATCTTATAAGCAGAGGAAAGATCCACAGGGAAATGCAGCTACTGAGCAACATATGATCCCCCTGATTTGAGAAGGTAGTAGGTGTTTTGGCAGGATTATTGCTGACTCTCTTCTGATCACTTAAGGGAAGATAAGCTTGTATGATCCTATTTTTTGCCCTTTAAGAAATCAAAGGGGAAATAACAAAGAAGAAAGACTCGAGACTTTAAAAAGAGGCAAAATTTGAACAAAGCGTTGCTGGGGGTTTTTTTTGATAGTTATGCTGTGACAAAATAAGATGATGCAACAACCTGTAGCATATCTGAAATGTTATATGAAATGCTCTGTATTGGTACGCTGGAAAACCCCTCTCGAGTCACATCCAGAACGCTGAGCGTAAATTGCATGGTGACAGGGGCTTTGGGCCATGCAGTGATGCCTCTGCAAATGAGTAGCTGTTAGCTTTTAGGTTCTAACACATTCAGGAGACTGGCATTTTGATTTCTTGCACCACTGCACCACTGATAGGGTTAGAAATGGGAATCAAAATAAT